ATCTTTCTCACCTGCCACATTCAACCTCATCAAGTGCTCTTGATTCCACTTCCAATTAATTTCTCACATGATGCACTTCTTTCCATTTAAACTGCTTCCACCCTAATCCAAGGCATAATCTTCTCTGACCGGAGCTTGTAGTAGCAATTAAAAGGTCTTTCCCCCTGTCTTACCCCACTCTAATCCATTTTTCACATATCACCCAAAGTCATCCTTTAAAAACATAAATCTAGTGTAAATCTTATAGAGCCACTCAAAATCCTTTACTGCTTTCTGTTTTACTCAGAATAATATGCAGACAGACCTACAAGGCCCTCCAAGATCAGGCCCCTACCTGTTTTTCCAAAATCATCTTATACTGTCTTCCACCTCGCTAAGCTGGCCTCTTTTTTTCTTCAGATTCTTTAGCTAGGCTCTTTCCTGACTCAGAACCTTTAAGCATACTGTTGTTTCTACCTGGAAAGCTCTTACTTCCCTTAACTTAGCCAATTCCTAGCCATCATTCAAGGTTCATCTTAAGTGTCACTACCTCAGAGCTTCCCTGATCCATGAGGGAATAATCCACATTATTCCCTTTATATCACTATGCTGCTTTTCTCCATAGTTTAAATGTCTGTTTCTAATTGTAGTGTTCCCTTTCATTAGATCTGCCTCCTGCACCGGACAAGTCCCATAAGGGCAAGAATCTTTTCAGTTCTATTCACCATTGCATACCCAGCACCTAGCAGTTAGGTGCTCAGTGAGTAATTTTGGAATAAGTTAATGTTACCATATCTCTCATTAGGTAAATTCAACCAATTTATACTATTATGAAAAGTATGATTTTGGGTCAGTTTTTCACAATTAAGTTTATTTTGGTATATGTTGAAAGATGGCAGGTATTTAACTTGATTTTTCCCAGTTAGCCATTTGTCCTGTAACCCACCATTATTCTGTAATTCAGCCTTTTGTCACTTCTTTAGAAATACTACATATTACAATAAATTCTTATATCTTAAACCTCTTTCTGGACTTTGTTTTCTGGTACGTTGCTCTGTCAACCTAGGTGCCATGACCATGCTATTTTAGTTATTTTTGTTGTATAGTATAGAATTGTTTTGGAGATTCCTCTTCATTGCATTAATTTTTTTGTTTGTTTCCATCCTGTATTCTCCCAGATGAACTCTTGCTGAGTTACAAAGTACAAAATCCTATTGGAATTTCAATTGAAAATTTATTGAATTTACAAAGTAATATTTAGTAATATTAGTCTTCCTATCTACAAACATACTTTGTTCGTGTCCCTCTTCAGTATTTTGTAATTTTCATTATGGATCCTGAAAATTTCTAAATTTTAGTTTTAGGGATATTTTTTATTGCTATTGGAAAGAAATGGTTTTTCTAGTTAGATCTTGTACCTGCTAGTCGCTGATATACAGAGAAAAGCTATTTATTTATTTATTTTATTATTATT